ATTCCTGCTCACAGGACACACACCTGCAACTGGTAAGAAGAACTTTCCGAAACACTCACTATGTAAGGGGAAAGGTCTAAAGTATCAAAAAAAAGGTGAATAAAACAGTGAACTTGATCGAACAAGATGTTTTTCTGAAAACTGATGACCTGTTCTCCTCTTTACTAACGCTGAACTCTTGACTACTGTAGTAGCACGTGGGTACATTTATCAAAAAGCTCTTTTTTGGTTTTCTGTCATATGCTAGCAACCGAAAACTCTGAATCACAGGTTTTGGAAAACAGCACCGTAAAACAAATAGGTGTTGTATTACACCCAGTTTTGGGAGAGGGTTTCCTGAAGACCGAAGCAAATACACAATATTTTACAGAAAAACTGAGTGATAGATGTCAACATCAAACAAAAAACATATCAAAAAGACTGACTTTTTCCCCCCTCTGGCTTCTACTCATTACGTAGCAAACAAAAGTTCTTATAAGGTACAATTCTTTAAAAGATGACTTTTTCAGCCTTTATGCTCCAAAATACCCTAAATCCAACACAGAACCAAGTACAACACTGATTTTTGACAGTTACTCTACACCTAAGTAATTGTTAATGATTAGCCGAAAAGGAAAAGAAACTTTTTCAACGCAACAATTTTGCTTGCTTTTCTAAAATGTTGAAATAATTTTTGCTGGCAAATGCAAGGAGCACGACATTAAGAGGCAAATTCTTGTTCCTGCAGGTAGTCCCATGGTGACGGCAGAAGGACCAACTGAAAGAACTCCAACACATCTCCCCAACAGAAGTTATTCTGCCTAAAATATTCTAGGAAAAAATAAAAACTAATTAAAATCCAAGACTTACTGGACTGTAGGCTGAAAGAAAGTTTTGTCCGTGGAGTTATCGGGGGCGGCGTCACTTGGGAGCTGGGAGGTGATGGAGAGACAGAGAAGCGTCTCTCACTTGAAATGACGTTTATGACTTGGCTTTTTGGTCTCTGTGGTCTCAGCGGGCTGATCTGCAGAGGGACAGACCCAGGGAGAGAGCAAAGGAACACGTGTCGTTACTGAGCAGCAGACCTTGGGATTGCTACGTTTTCCCCACTCCCTCCCAAGCAGTAACAGGGCGATAATAACCTACAACGCTTCTGATTTAATGCAGTCCTTCACAGCTCCCAGTGTTCCTCCCTTCTCCCCACGAATCATAATAAGGCTTAATGCACACACCTTCCCGTAGCCTGGCATATTTTTCTCTGAAGCAATATTCAAAATATCTGAAATGGGACTTTCACCAAACACTTGCTTAGTAACAGCTAAAGAAGTCCATATCCCTACAGAAGGTTGTACAGCATTCAGAAATCTCTTTCTTCTCATGTGGCTCTACTTCCCTTTTACAACGTATTTATTTAATTGTTTCCATGGTCAAAATCTCTTCTGAGGAAGACATCATCTGTCCAGAAACACTTTCCTGATGGTGCCTGTTGATGCTTATATTTAACTCACTGAAGTATCCCTATCGTTTTGCCCTGGCTCCCTCATAGTCTATTTAAATTTCCCATCAGAAACCCTGAAATGATGCTTGTAATCTGATGGGCACCTACTGCCTTTGTTAAGGTGATTCCTTTTACTGAGTTTAATTCTGGGCTCTACTGTTCGTTGCCCATCCACCGGCCCCTGTGCTTCTAGTAATCGCAGTGAAGAAAGGAATTCTTCATTTCCAGGAGATCACAGAAAATGGAGCAGCAGCCTGAAGTTAAGAATTGCACCCAAGGTGCTGCACCAGGACAAAACAGAAAATGCTGGCAGCAACTCACGCTTTTCGAAAGAATTATGTCATTTCACAATATTTTTTTTAAAAAGTATGTTGTGAAGGAGAAATCCAAAATGAGGTATGAGTGCTTTCTTTGATTTTCCGCAAACAAACCCTAGAAGGGTTTGCATCAAAGGCTGTGTCTCCGAGACCCTTCTCTGCGAAATGAATGACCATAAAATACGCAACTTTTTTTGGAAAGTTCATCGAGACCTCAGGGTAACCTTTCAGAAATTTGCCTGACACTAAAATTCAAGTCCTCAAGGCACCAAAGGTTTCTTCTTTCAAGATCTTCTTAAGCATATTTTAATTAGAACGGATAAGCACAGTAATCGCTTTCTCAGAAGCATATAATTATAAAAAAGCAACTAAGGAAAATACGCTAATTGATTTGGAAAGCTGCAATGCCAGAGTCAAGAGAAAAACCAACCACTACAATCAAGCTCCCCAGTTAACCTGCTCTGTAGCTACTTATCTCAAATGCATTCTAACTTCTTCTGTGACTGACAAGCTTGGTCCTCTTCTGAAAGCATCATACAAATGACAGTTCTGCTAGGGAATACGAACTCTTTGGAGACCACTAATCCATAATGAACCCACTGCTGAGTTTTTTTGGTCTGACAAAAGCAAGATCAATAGCGAGTGATGTCAGATGCCATTAAATCAATAAAATGTACAGCCTGTTATTCTGATTTCTAACACAAGCTTTCAAGTGGTCTGTTAACTACCTGGCTTCAATGTTAGGTTTGCTATCAGCTCATCGAATCAAAGAACTAATAATGAGAATTTATGTTACAGAGGTTTATGTGATACTTAAAAGAAGATATAAATCTCTAGAAAACTATAAAGACATTACTGATCATCTTCTCCTACCAAAGTGCTTAATTTGTCTTCCGATAAGATCATGGTAGTACAAAATCTCTGTAATTAGGGCTTGGGTTTTGATCAGTCATTGAATTCATTACGAGTACAGTGAAATTTGGAAAAAAGCATTTAAGCCATACAACTAGGCAAAACAGCCTCTGAATGCTCCTTTTTAAAGAAAATGCAAAAGCTCCAGGAAATAATTCTACGGTTTTATAATCTTCCCGCTTTCTTCCACAACGACCCATTTGACTGGAAAAAAAAGAAGTTCCTACAGAAGGAAGTCCATTGCAGCGATGGAACCACTTCATTAGACACCATCATCTTTGCACAGAGTAGCAGGAGCTCTGCAGAGACGGGAATGACCGCTGCCTGACACGCCTGCCGCGCCTCCCACTCGGTATTCTCTGTAAATTCGGTATCATGCTCATAATTACGTTGCACAAACCAATTAGTAGTGAATAACCTAGGATCCAGAATAGGATGTATAAGGTTTTATATGTGTGTATATATATATATAAACATATATATGGTTATTGATGCATCCTTCCCTCCTGAAAGCAAGCCATTGGTAACTACCTATTTGTGGTGCGTGAAGAATAATTCAGAATACGAGTGCTGTCCGGCAATAGATAATTGTGTGCCAGCATGCGTGAGTGTGGGGTGAATATCTGAACCTGGACTTTCAAAACGCCAAGCACCAGCCTGCTGTTTGCCAGGTACAACTGGCATGGGCTGGTTGTAAACTGAGATGACACCGGGAGGAACCAGAACTGACACGCACCGAACCCTCTTCTTAATAAACAGACATGAGGTAGAGCCAGAGTCAGCGATTAAGAGGCCGACCACGCGCTGTGCTTCCGCACATCTGTTATTTTGACATATCCCACCGTCCAAATCCGTCACGGGCTCTCGTTTACTCCGTCTCAGCCATGACAATATTGAGTGCCATTTTTTCAGGCTGCTATGTATCCTTCGGCGTCACCTTAGACCGGCCTTCATCGCCCAGTCTTGCTCCTGAGAGCATCGTGTGAGATGTGGCCAACGTCGGCACATCGCGGGTCCACCACGTCCTTGCTATCGCAGAAAGAAGCAGGAAGGGCTTGACCAATCTGGTGCCTACAAATCCAAGCTGGCTGTTACTCTTTCATCCCTTTTCCTGAAGGTGCTTCTAAATTGTCATCGTACTAAAGAGAAGCATGTCTTCTGCTGCAAAACTCCCACATATTTTAGGAGTCAGAACAAAGAATCTATTAGAAAATTCATCAAATAACTGAAATCTTCTAATTGAATTAGCGATGCTACAAGTGAATTCTAAAATTCTCAGCAGGAGGAATCCAGTAACTATAATACAAAGTCTAGTAACTAATAGTAGTTTATTACTAAAATCTCACTTCAAAAGCTCTTTAAATCTTTATTTTAATTTCCATTTCTATTCAAATCTGGATTCCAACTTCTTTGGAAAAAATCCATCCTTAATTTTTCTCCCCTCCATTTCATCATTGTCTTTTTTTAAGCTAGCAAACTTTCCACTTCCAGGCTCCTAATGCAAGATAAATCAAAATGCCTTTTTCTTCATAAAACTCAGCAGTAACAGTGCTTTGGGAGCAATTTCAACTTAAAAAGGGAACTTGCACACAGTGCAGCCCACAAAAGTAGAACAACGGAGGAGCTGAATTCCTACCCATGAAAGATAACAATTTCCCTTTTGTGTCATTAATAAGGGACATATATCTCCAGGGTGCAAAAATTTTAAGACAAGACAAATTTTATCTTTAAACCGCTTGACATTATCTGTACAAAATTCCTGAAGACAGCACTGGGAATTGGACAGTCACTCTTGTAAACCAATCTCAAAAGTGCTTCCTCTGTTTCAGCTACCAGCGAAAATGAACCACACCAACATCAAGCATTAAAAATTGACTTGGTCATTTCTGAGCTCATCAAGTAGTTTGCAGATACTGAAAAGGGAGAGTTTTTCTCTCGCCAGTAAACTCCTTTTCATCTTATTGATCTGTGGATTTCAAGAAGCTCAAAGTCACTGTAAGTAACTAATGCTGACATTTAATTTCCTTCCCTCTCCATAACCAGGGGAAAATTAGTCATATCAGTCATCCAGAGAAAGCTCTTGACTGGGAATAGAGGAAAACCTGAGTCAAACCACGCTGGGCTTTGCTCATTTCTGTTCCTCAGATGACAGACGGGAATCTGCCTTGAAGGGTGACCATGTCCTCCTTTCCAGCCAGCGTTTGCATTTTCCCAGTCATAAGCAATCTTCTCCGCTGTCCGAGGCCTCTCAGAGATGACAGTGACCTTGCAGAGACACCAACCAGCTCTCCAGCATCCTTGGACGCCTCTCCTCTGGTCTCATGCATTTGTGCAAGTCCAACCGACTGAGCTGCTCCAAAATACAATTTTATTGTTTCTGTGACTAACGCTCTTCTCCCACTAACTCTGACAGTCGGGCCGGGGATCGGGGAGACGCTGGTGCAAGCCTTGCCCTTGCAACGTTCAGGCTTCGTCAAAATACGACCGCTGCAATGTGCCTAACGCGTCCAGAGTTGAATGCATCGCACCAAAAAGATGAGACGTATGGAAATCTATGAAAAAGCTATCCGCTGTCTGAAAACACTCTCATGATGCTCACCCGACTGGTTTTGGCAAGAGGAATCTCCATTTAAAAAAATCGATCCAAAATTTACTGAAGTCAGTGAGAAAACTCACTAGCTTCAAAGGAGACTGGGTGAAAAGCCCGGGATGAACAAATGGGGTTTTATCTGAGTTTTTGCCGAGCTAATACTGGGCCAAAGGCCACATCAGACAAAACAACTCTGATCTTCCAAGATGTCAGAAGACTTGTCTGAGAGATTAGTTCATCTCTGGATGGAAAAGGAAGAGCAAATCCAGAAAACAGAGCAACTATGGCTGAACATCTAAGTACTATTCCACTACAAATACCAAACAGCAAGACTTAAGAGGATCTAGTCACCACAGGTCAGAGAGAAATCGTTTCAAAGTCCACTGTAAATGACACAGCCACCAACGAAAGACTCCGCTGAGTTAAAAGTTGGCTCTACAAGTACTCGTGTAAATCCTTAAAAGAACATTACATTTATTTCTGGAGGGCAAGTTTTAAACTATTGGCCTCGAAGCAGGTGTCCAGGCAGAGATTTGGAGGTTACAGCTGGTTCACGCGCTCCCTGCTCCAGCTTAGAATGGTCCTGCTTTCAATTTCAGAGCTGAAACTTCTCAAGTTACCTAAGCCTTTAGGACAGTTTCAGTGAATTAAACATACGCCAAGAAAAGAGGGCTGAAGAGAGATATGCCCTGTCGTTAATATTCTTACACACAGCCACGAGTGGAACTGCCGACGATTTTCTGCTCAAAATCGCCGTTCAAGAATACGTAATTGCCATGCACGAAATGACCTTGTAACATTTCCCCCAAAAAGTGTCTCGCAGTAGCCAGCTGAAATATGAGAAAACCCATCACCATCTCTTGGGAACCATAAATTCAAAAGGCTGCTAAAATGGCAGCATTTACTTCACTTAGGCTAAACCACCATTTTATCAAACAGTCATACATAGCTTTTGGTCAGATTTTCACACGAGATACCATGATTTTTTTACACTGTAAATAAAATTGGTATTGTTGATTCAATATTACACACATTAACATCGTAGCATATTCCCTTAGAGTTATTTTTGGTCTAAAAATAAAACTAAATCATAAAAATCCACATTTTTACTTAAAAAGAGAAAGAACACTGCTCAGAATTAGATAAAGCATTACTTGCTAATAAAATTACCGTTTCTGAAAGGATCACAGCTTCAGACTGCTGCAGAGAAATATCAGTAGATTTAAATTCTTTATCAAATATCTCCTGATGCTTGCTGTTCCTTTTCTCCTTCTTCTTTTCTTTCTTATCTTTATCTAGGTCATCCTTGTCCAATTTATCTTGAGACCTAGAATGCATCTTTTTTGGCAGGAGGGGCTCCAGCACAAACCTAAAGAAAATTGTGGTTGCTTAGATCAATAAAACACAATTTTCAAAACATCTCATTTTCATTTACATATTTCCCAAAGTCTCACTTGAGTTAACGATGCTTTGCTAATCCCGGAAAACTCATTAGAGAGAAAAGGAGGGGGCAGAAGGTCATAAGAATCATAATTGTCTTACAATAAAATTTACTGCAGAGCTGCTGAAGAACAGTACCGCATGTTTCCCTGCTCTGCAGTAAATTTACTGGATTACAGCTACACAAACTCCGGCGTTCCACTCTATGTGGTTTACATAGAAATGAGTTTCTAATTCCGCACTCCCACTATAAACCCCGGTGGAAATTGTACAGCGCATCAAAGAAACGTCACCCCCGCTTGCCCGGCGCCCCAGAGCCAGTCCCTATGCCTTAGGGATTGCTGCAAAAGACAGCCAAGTGCCCACGTTCCTCCTGGACAACTCTGGGTTTTCGGTGGAGGAAGAGGACGTATTGATTCCCCAAAGCAGGAGTAATGTCTGAGATGTGGTTCTGCAGAGGTGCAGCTGGTGGAGGAAGAGGACATATTGATTCCCCAAAGCAGGAGTAACGTCTGAGATGTGGTTCTGCAGAGGTGCAGCGATTTTCTGTTGAACACGCACAAATCCCAACGCTTTCTAACCCTTGCAACCCACCCAAATCACAGCACCTTTCCACAGCAAAGCAAACGAGATCACCCTCCACGCAAGGGAAACACCTCGAACTTGCACGAAAGCACGAGGCACAGAGGTTCAGCCACAGAAACCAGCGCCATTCCTGTCCGTGGTAACGCCGCGTGTGCGTGCACGAGGATATCTCCACCCACACGAGTGTGCGCACGTACGCACTCACAGACCCACGCCTCTGCTCACCTACGGCGTGTCCTGGCGAGGGTGGGCTGAGCTTGGGGCCAAGCTCTTTTCAGTGGTGCCCAGCGACAGGACAAGGGGCAACAGGCACAAACTGAAGCAGAGGAACTTCCAGCTGAAGATGAGGAAGAACTTCTTCCCTCTGAGGGTGAAGGAGCCCTGGCCCAGGCTGCCCAGGGAGGTGGTGGAGTCTCCTTCTCTGGAGATATTCAAGACCCGCCTGGACGTGGTGCGGTGCAGCCTGCTCTGGGTGACCCTGCTTCGGCAGGGGGCTGGACTAGATGACCCACAGAGGTCCCTTCCAACCCCTGTCATTCTGTGATTCTGTGAGTTTATGCGTTCTGATCTTACAGATAAACTCCAGAGTGAAAAATCGGTCATACGACAACCAAGGGCAAGGGTCGTTCCCAAAGAGCAGATGTGTTTTCCCACCTGCAGTGCTCCAAGGGTGTGACTATAGGCAAGGCTGATACACTACTGCCATCAGCTCTGCAAGTTTTACAGTCCATGATTATTTTTTTTCTGGCTACAAAGGAAAAAAATCTTTAAGGGTTCAATGAACTTTTAAAGGAAAACTTCGTTTTTTTAAAGAGTTTT